TTGCCAATAGGAGGTGACTTTAACGCGATTACTAAGGTACGGGTATATACATCAGTATAAGGAGCCATAGTAAAAAAGATAGCTACGTAGTAGTAGGTAGACTGATTAGACAGCCCCTCAGCTCAAAGGTGGGAGTTGCGCCAAGAAGAGTTGCACCGAAGCGCCGAGATTAGCGTCAGACAATACTTTTGAAAGGCACCTCCGTACTCCAACAGGCAAAATGCGCGTCTTGACTGACGTATCCCCCATCGTGGAAAAATGGGGAAAGAGAAGAAAGGAACATGGGATAAGAGCGTTTGTATGCGCAATTTGAGTTTTGGTGTCTCCATCCCCATCTTAAGTGGCACAGCGAGGATGAGACGCTCTTCTACTATCGTGCTGTTCGCAGCATATGCATCGGCGCAAACCCAGTATGGAGAAAACCATGGCGCTGTAAGCTTCGATTCGCAGCTTGTAGAGCAGGCGGCATTCCCAGCGCCCAATGTGACGCTCTACAGCCCTGCCTTCATGTCCAATGCCACTTTTGATCCTGGATGGTTCGAGGGCACCGAGGGGGCAACTTCACTTGGTCAATTGGGTACACAAATTCGACTTGCTGTAACATAATTGTTGATTCTAACATTCTAGTAGAAAGATTCATTAGCGACCTCGCTGCAAAAAACCCTTCATGGATGAAGTACCAAATTGCCGATTTCCTTAGCGAAGAAGGCAAAACATTTCCCTACGCCCTACTCTCGACGTCATCCGCATCAAACACGACTTCAGAGAAGCTCAAAGTCTGGATTCAAGGCTCGGTCCATGGCAACGAACCCGCTGGCGATGAAGCCGCGCTCGCCTTACTTGGGGCCATGGACAACAACCCAGTATGGGCCGCCACCTTGCTGGAGAAAATGGACATCCTCGTGCTCCCGCGTTACAACCCAGACGGTAACGCCTACTTCCAACGTACCTTGGCCACCAACTTCGATCCAAACCGCGATCACACCAAACTCGCTCGCCAGCAGACCCGCAATATCAAAGAATGGTTCAGCACCTTCTCACCTACCATTGCCATTGACTTGCACGAATACGGCGCAGCGACACTCTACTCGACCCACTACAGCAACGCAGCCGACGCCATGTATTCGAGCGCCAAAAACCTCAACATACATCCCGAGATTCGCGAGCTCTCGGAGACGCTCTTCGCACCGGCCATCAATGCGTCGCTCATCTCTCGAGGCCTGCGTGGCGAGCAGTACATGACAGCTTCGAGCCGCAACCCGCCGCGTCTCGTCGAAGCCGGCACCGACGCGAAGATTGGGCGCAACGCCATGGGTCTAACACAGTGCATCACGTTCCTTTTCGAGACGCGGGGCATCGGCATTGCGAACCAGCAGTTCAAGCGCAGGACGCTCGCGGGTCTACAGATGATTCTCGGCGTGCTCGAAGCAGCAAGGGACAATGCCGAGCAGGTCAAGAGCACAGTGGACAATGCTATTGCGGATTTTGCGGCAAGCAAACAGGACATTGTGGTTACCGACTACCCCAACTATGCCAATCGTACGTTTACAATGGTCGATCGCCGCACGGGAGATGTTGTGCAGCTGCCCGTCGAATTCGCAAGCAATACCCCGGCAACGGCGAACCTCACCCGTGCGAGGCCTCAGGGCTACATCATCCCTCGTGCATGGGCTGATCTCGCTGAGCGCTTGAGGGTCTCTGGCTTGGACGTTGAGACCATGCCAGAGGCGTTTCGGGGAGAGGTCGAGGTCTACAACATTACTTCTTCAAAGTTTGCTTCCTCATATTACGAGGGAGCAATCCTAAATACGGTGACTACAGAGAGTTCTGTGCAACAGGTTGCGTTGCCAGCCGGCAGCTTCTTCGTCAGCGCCGCCCAGAAGAATGCGGGCTTGGCCTTTGTAGCCCTAGAGCCCGAGAACATTGACTCTTATGTTTCTTTTGGATTGCTGCCGATGGAGGTTGGTGACCAGTATCCAGTCTTCCGTAAGATCTAGCTACATGACCGTGCATGCATGTTTCATAGACTCGGTACCCATACGTACGCATCTAAGAGCATATAGAAAAAAGATTTCTAATTAATAGTACAAACATTATCACCGTCGCCCATGGTATCAGCAGTGACCTCAAAAACATGAATACCTGGCATACTATGCTGTGACATCTCCGCTCTTCGCACGCTTAGCATCTCTCTCTTCACCCACCGCTGCATCCGCTCGTCGCTTGCCCTCATCTTTTCTTGCATTGTCTTTTTCCTCGCGAGCAGCCCGCCGCGCCTCCTTGTCCTGCTTTTCTTTTTCTTTCCGAAGTGCTTTGCTTTCGAATTCATGCCAATCCCCTTCAAGTTCTTTCAACGCCTCGGCTCGTTTTGGCGCAGGAGCCTCGCTGGTGAAGAAAGGATGCTCGAGCACGTCGGCCGCCGCCGGCCGTGCATTTGGGTCAAATAAGAACATTGCCTGAAGCAACTCGAAAGCCATAGGGCTGACACGGTCCTTGTACTTTTCTGCGAACGTCGACTTCTTACGTTCAGTTGGGCGTAGCAGCTCAAACCACTGCATGTCCACGATGCCAGGCCAATCCTGTACTGTTGGCGTACCAAGGACGTTGTAAATCTTTTCAAGCTGATTGATTTCTCCACCATCACCCGGGAAAATGGCGTGTCGCGTGAAAATCTCCACAAGCACGCATGCTGCTGACCAGATATCGACCGCTGGGCCATATTGCGTTTCTCCAAGTAACAATTCAGGGGATCGGTACCAGATGGTGATGACGCGATTGGTGTAGTCCAGCTTACCACTCTTCGAGTAGAAACGGGCGAGACCAAAATCAGCCAGTTTTAGTTGTCCGGTGTTAGACACGAGAATATTGGCCGCCTTGATATCGCGATGCAAAACCCCACGTCGATGGAGATAATCAAGACCTTCGAACAGTTGCTTTGCAAGGTCTTTCTTGTGCGATGTTTCAAGTTTAAATGTCGGATGGTTTAAAAGGCCGGTTAAATCGTGGGAAAGGTATTCGAAGACCATGTAGCAGTCATTCTTCTCCACCATCACCTCACGGAGGTTAACAATGTTGGGATGGTTGAGAGATTGCAATAGTTTAACCTCGCGAATGGCGGTGACTGGAAACTGCAAAATGTCAGCAAAAGATCTTGTATATGTTCACAAGGAATACATACGCCATCGCGTTCGCCTTCCATACGAATCTTCTTTAGTGCAACCATATCCTTTGTGTAGACATGCACTCCTTTGAAGACCTTTCCATACGTGCCTGATCCGACCACTGACTCATTGCCGGGTTTCCTGTAGTACACCGATTCCGAGGCTGCATGCTCTGGGGCTAATGTAGGTCGTGGCTTTTCTCGTTTCTTTGTAATTGTCTTGGTTTTTGGTATCTGAGGGGGCGGTGTCCTTCGTTCTGGTCGAGCAATAGGGCGTGGATCTGGCCGCCTATCATCATGCCTTCGTGGAAAGTACGGCTCCCGGCGGTCTCTTGGGTCTCGCACGTCCCTTGGATCTCGCAAGTCCCGCGAATCCCTTTCCCGAATATCACGCCCATCTCGAATATCCCGAGGGTCCCTAAAGTCTCGGTCGCGCGGGTCTCGGAATTCCCTTTCCCTACCACGATAATAGGGATCACGGGAATCTCGGATGTCTCGAGGATCTCGTTCGCGGGGGTCTCGATAAGTCGGTTTGCGGTCGTGATAGTTATCGTAGCGACGGTCTCGTTCCCTGATGTCTCGCTCCCGAAGGTCTCGTTCTCGATTATGATCGTAGTCCCTCTCTCTTGGATCTCTGTCTCGATCACTTCTTGACTCGGCATAGCGGGGAGCAACGTCGCGTGCTGCTTCAACTTTTGCTTTTGGATCGAGTAGTGACTCTTTCGACACTGGCTCGGCTTTCTCGGGCTCCTCCAGCACCAATTTTGCTTTGCTTGCTGGAGGCACCGGATTCTTTGTCTTGAGTGAGAACCCGAATCCCGACTTCGTTGCTGTTGGGAGCGTAGCAGAAGACTTGGCCAGAGGAGCGGGGTTTTGCTCTTCTTTTGAACCCTCATCCTCTACCCGTAGATCTTTCGAAGGGCGGAAAGGATTGTCATCAGCGTCGACAGATGTGGAATCAGCTACCGTCTGTGATGTGGGAAGAGGCTGTGGGCGTGGCGCTTCGGTGGCGGGACGACCGCCTCGTGTTCCAGACGCGGGTGTCCATGAGAGATTTGAGAATTGGGTAGGCGCAGCGCCTCGACCCCGGCCACCAGGCCCACTAAAGGGAGCACCTCCGGCAGGGCCTGAGATCCGCCGATCGGAACCGTGAAAGCTGTTACCGCGGAAGCCACCATGTCCACCCCGATGTGAACTGGATTGAAAACCGGATTGAGGATATGACTGGTTTTGGTAGTAGCCAGGAGACTGACTTTGATGATATGGGGATTGCCCTGAATTGTAGCCATGTGGAGGAGATCTGTCAAAGTTAGCGCGAAGTGAGTAAATGATGAATATAACTTACCCGTGGTTTGGATAGGACTGGTTGCTCCAACCCCCTCTGCCGCTGTGGTAGGGTGACTGATTTTGAGGAGAGTATTGGTTGTGGGAAGGATAGGGTGGGGATTGCTGAAATCCACCACGGCCTTGGTAATGGTAGGCTCCTCTCATCTTGTTCTCGTCTCTACGACCCCTGGACGTATCCGAATTGTAGCCAGATCCAGATACCGGTGAACTTCTGCGGGAAACGTGCTTAGTAGGGTATCTTGACTTTGACCCTCGAGAGGGTGAACGGGATTGACGACGTCGTATGGGTATAGGAGGTGATCGACTTCTGCGTGGTGGAGTCCTAGCTCGTTTAGAGCTGGGGGGCGAACTTTTGCGAACAGATGTTGGAGACCGTCTGCGGAGCGACGAGCGAGACCTGACGCGTCTTGGTGCTCGACTGCGACTTCTTGTTCGACCACGAACAGGACTGGGTTTGTAGGACCTTTCACGAGAATGATCCAAGGGCGGCGTGGTCCTCCCGTGAGTCCACCCCGGGGACAATGCCCTCGGCGACAATTCACGCCTGGACCTTCTATCGGGTGAAACCGATCTCTTCCGTGCACGTTGTGTTGCTGGTCTGTAGTAGGTGTCTACGGATGGCGACTGACGCCTGTGTGAAGCGGGCGGCAAGTAACTGTTGGGGGTGTTCCGTCGAGGCAGCCGATCGCGGTCAGAGGTATGAGGGCGAGGCGAGTATGCCCTTGCCGACGGCCGGCCCGAGGAATCTGCACGTCGTGTAGGCGACCTGGAGCGCACTGTGCTGCGACTCCGCGGGCGTTTTACGCGTTTGGATGATGGCCTAGGGGATGGGGAGCGACTGTGATAGTGTTTGGAGGATGGCGTCGTGTCGTGGCGGTGGTGGTGATGGTGATGGTGATGATGATGGTGGTGGTGTCGACGATGGGGGTGGGCAACCCTGTCTGCACTGGCTTCCCTCTCTGAGCCTCGATAGCGGTCCTCCTTGGAGGCGCTCCGACTTCGCCGACGCGTGCGGTCCCTGTCGAGGCTTTTGTCGCGCGAATGGCCTCGGCCGTGTTTGCCTGATGAGCGGGCGTCGTGGTCGTGAGCGCGATGCCTGGAATGATGTCTGCCCGCCCGTGGTGCTGGTGACGATGTCCGAGGGTCGTAGCTGCGGTCGCGGTGGCGGTCTTTGGGACGTTCCCTACCTCGGTCAGGCGATGCCTCAGTTCTCCGCTCGTCTATATCCTGAGCCCGTCGCAGGGCAGCCATAGAGGCAAGAGGATCATCAGAAGTCGCAAGGTTGCAGCATCAAAAGATTCGCGGGTCAGAGCGACAGCCTAGCCGAGCAGGAAGGAACTCTATCTCCGAACCCCCCAGCCGATGATCAGATAGTGAGAGAGAAAAGAAAAGAGATACCACTGCAACTGGTCCGAAAGACAAGCGGGAATGCGCTGCCTGATGTCAGTGCGCTTCTGAATGATGCTGTCGTGGCTGCAGACGCTACTGTTGCAGTGCCTTTGCACCGGCCGGTCCTTTCGCTTGCCGCTATCGATGACGCCAAGGCCTCGTGACAAGGAGGCCCTCCTCCAAAGGACGCATCCCCATCCAACCCCAAACCCCGTCCCTTCAGTCTCGGGTCCTAGTGTGCTTGTGTGCTTGCGTGCTGCCCACGGCCGTCTTCCGGAGTGTGTCTACTTTCCATCTTCTGGCTGCTGTGCATCAAGGGCAGGCCGCCGCCAGGCTTCACGACAACTATCTACTGCATGCAAAAGACAACCGACTCATGGCAGACAATCCATACTGCGAAGCCTTCGCAGAAGGCAATTCCCTCATCCGGTGTAGGATTCATAGACGGTTTGAGGACTTCTAACCGGAATATACGTGTTGGCAAGCGCCTGCACACGAACCGAAGGGGGGGTTTTGGATTTCCGCTGGTGGTCAAGAATGAAAGCTGAGTTGATCTCCGCTGGGCTGTGGATATGGTCCGATGTTGAATACCGTGGGCTCATGCGAGCGAGGCAGTCCACTACGGGAGGGAATGCAGCATATGCTTGTATCCACGAGGAAGCATGGAGCAGGAGCAACAAACAGGTGTAGGGCGAATGCGCCATGATCCCACCGACAGCAACATGCGGCTTAAGGCCACTGAGTATAGTCGCAGCCGACTCGCTTTACCAAGAGGAGACTCCCAACAAGACCATCTTCCATATATCGTGACCGAAGGAGCCGGGAAACCAACAAACCCCCCGCCCCAACGACAATATTCCGAGCACATGGCTGGGACACGCGAAGCTGAGTGATGGGCGGTTGTGGGGACACACCCAGCCGTGACCGATAGGCGACGACAGCTGACAGTCATTAACCTTCCCACCTATTCACCGATAGTGATGCAGTATACATCAGAGGCGCGACATGGAGAAGAATTAGTAACTAGTTATGTGGTGATGCGCGGCGGGTAAGTGACTCCCTAGAGTGGTGGTGGTGGTGGTGCAATGAGGGTGCGTCCAAAAGACACTTCGTAGACCCTCATTCTAGTATAGTAGTAGAAGCAGCACATATAATGGCGTCCTCAGTCATGCCGTGATAGGCGCAAACCGGTAGTGTTGTCGCCTGCTTTGCAATGTACTGTGGGCGAAGAGGCATGCGCGCATCTTCTGTTGCTGGGAATGGCGGCAAGATGGGACTGCGGAGTAAAGTTGCGAGACAGGCCAGAGCCTGCCTGGGAGGGCGCGCCAGGTATCGCCAACCACCTCATCTTCGCCGTCTGCCCCTCATTGTAAGCATGGCAGTCGTTGTCATCGCCGTTATCGCTGCACCATCAAAAAACAGAGAAGAGAAGCGCCAACTAAAAGGGTGATGAGTATGTGTGGCTGCAGCGGAGTGTATTGATGGGGGAGGGTGGGGGTGGGTAGAAGGGTTGTTGTTGGAGTGCAGAGAGCCGGGCGCTCCCTCCTAGTCTGGCTGCAGCCCGTTCTGGTTCGCATCACGTGCGCATTCGGTAGCCAGTAGTGTAGCGTGGCGTCAGGTCATGGCACGCTAAGCCGCATTTCGCCGGGGTTAGGACAAAGTTATTCCTATGCAGTCATATGGACCGGCGCGACTAGGAATTTGTAGGAACCATGTATTACTGGACCGTTTCTCATCTTTTGGCAACTTTGCCCTCGCTCTTGCACTTGCTCTCTTGCCCAGGTCTGACCTAGTCATTACTCTTACATAAGTATACCGACATAGTAAATATAAGCCCCGATCACTCCATCACGAAACCCTGTTGCGATATCCCCACACCCCCGCCATCATGGACGCCGACACGACCAAACCACATTCCGCTGTGCCGTCGCACATGGTGAATGGAGGCTCGCCGCTCAGACTCACGACCGAGGCTCGCGATAAGAAGGAACGGGAAAATCTCTTCAACGCCATTGAGACGTCCAACCGGGGCCGGCAAGTGGTAAACTTCGACGGGCCGACTGGTTATTTCCCCGCGAAGGCTTTTGCAGCAAACAACAATGATGGCAGTACGGACAGCGGACTCGAAATGAGCAACGGCCACACGGAGAACGAATCCGAGGGCGAGGACGCTATCGTCCAAACGCCGCTTGCAACGAGCCGCGCGCACAGCCCATATACCCAGCATCCGACGATTGACTTTGATGGGCTTAGCTGGCCTAGTAAGGGCACACGGCATCGAAAGGAGGCGACGGATGAAGAGAAGGCGGAGAATCTGAAGAAGCTATCGGGGGCTGTACGGACAATGCTCGAGTGTCTGGGCGAGGATCCTGATCGCGAGGGTCTGCTGGACACACCCGAGCGGTACGCAAAGGCGCTGCTCTTCTTCACCAAAGGCTACGAGGAGAACCTGCGGGATATTGTCAACGGAGCCGTCTTTCACGAAGACCACGACGAATTGGTGATTGTACGGGACATTGAGATATTTTCGCTGTGCGAGCACCACTTGGTGCCCTTTACCGGAAAAGTAAGTGCAGGTTGTTTCCCCATGACTTGAAACTATTTGGTTGGAAAGAAAAACAGATCGACTAACTGTACTGTCCGCATTAGATGCATATTGGTTACATCCCCAACCGCCGCGTCATCGGCCTGTCGAAGCTGGCGCGCATTGCCGAAATGTTTGCCCGCCGGTTCCAAGTGCAAGAGCGGCTGACGAAGCAGGTTGCGCTGGCGCTTTCCGAGATGCTGCAGCCACAGGGAGTTGCGGTGGTGGTGGAGTCGAGCCATCTTTGCATGGTGATGCGCGGGGTTCAGAAGACGGGTGCTACAACGACTACGAGCTGTATGCTTGGTTGCATGCGTTCGCGGGAAAAGACTCGCCAGGAGTTTCTCAACCTTATCAACAGGAGATAGAAACGCGGGGCGTCAGGTACAACACAATTGGCGTTAGTGTTCGGGATCCGGCGTTCTGCAGGGGGTGGGGAGTTCATCACTCTGACTGGGCGGGCATATTGCGTTGCATGACACAGACGCATAAGCCTTTCAACAGGTTGTGTTTTGTTTTACTTTTTTCTCTTCTTCTTTGTCTTTCTTGTTCATTTTCTTCAACATGCCTGCCACATACTCACGGTAACGTATCGTCAGATAGACAAAATCTTAAATTCATGTCAGATATCGCACGCTATGAGATGGACAGTTACATTAAAAACAGGCGCATCATGGTGAAGGCGCTGACGGCCTTGGTGGCTTCTGGCCATAGACCAACGACACTTCTTGATAGGCATGGATGCGTCGATCACGCAAGGCCTGGCGCATCAGAGCCAAGTAGACTTGGACTTCTTCGATGGTCCATTTCATAAGGGTGGTGAGTAGATAGATGCTCCACCCTTCTATGCCTTGCTCCCAGTTGATGCGGTTGTAGAGGCCAAGCTCCTTGAAGCGCTTGTCAGCAGGCCAACCGCCAATGGGCAGTTTCCAGCGGTGTTCAACAACGTTGATGAAGCCGGCAGCCTCGATGCCAGCCTTGGCCTCGTCGGCAGTGCGCAGCGATTTTCCAAACTTCTCACCGAGTTCGACCGAAATCTTGCCCCACTTGTCAAAGATGGAGCCAGGTTCTACGGTGCCGTCGTCGGATTTGGGAACAACGGACATTTCGAGTTGTTCAAACCAACCGCCGGGCTGGAGGTGACTGGTAGGATGGAGTTAGCAGCGCAGGGAAAGATGGGAGCGAGGCAAGGCGACATACTCGAGTGCTTCCTGGTAGAACTTGGGCCAATCAGCGACACAGCCAAAGAGGGATCGTGCGTGGATGAGATCAAAACTCTCTTTGCGGAATAGCCAAGGCTCAGTGAAGTCATCGACCTCGAAGCGAAGGTTAGGGGGTATCATGGAGGGTTGTGTGGGGCTGAGGTCGGTTCCCAGCACCTATGTCATAGAATTAGAGCACAATCTGGGGTGAATATTTGTTTGGTATTGAACACGGACCTCGCACGAGGGGAATCTGTCGGCAAAATCACTGTGGACTGTGTGTTAGTTTGGGCGGCAGAGACGGGCCAAAGACTGACATTGCCCATATTCCTGTCAAGTTAGTCTGAAGCGGCCGGTCAAGTGGGTTGTTGGTGATTGCATACCAGTACCAGTACCCAAGTCCAATACACGCTAGAAGAAGGGAGCGAAGAGTCAATACGAGCGTCTAAGTATGGCAGCCGTGGTGGGGCATACCATTGGGTCTTTGGTCAACGGGGCCATGTACAGCTCGCCATCGAGCAGGAGGAGACATATGTGATGACTATGGGGGTACAGTCAATATGGTGGTACATGGTCACGGGCGGGTGCAGTGCATACACAATGTCGAGCTGCTCGGCCTGTGTCTCATCATTGGGCCCCCCTGTCAAGTAGTCAATAGGCAAAGTACTTGGGTAAAGTAGAGGAATGAGACTAGTAGGGCAGGGCAGGTGGGCGCACAGTATGAGCCTTCCTTGTAGGCGTGGTAGCGGCGGCCGTTGCGATACTTGTAGTTTACAACGGCCGACTTGAGTGATGTTGTCTCGCTACAAGGGTTGTTGTTAGAGACGGCTATTCCTTGACCGATGACGCATGGTAGATGATGGTGTAGACTTACGACGCCGAGTCATCGCCAAAGGCCGAATCCGTCTCATCTGAGTCCTGGGCGAGGGTCAATGTCAGACGCGGGACAGGCACGGGCACAGGTGCAGCTGGTGACTTACAAGGGCGATTTGGGCGCCAATGTCAGCCATGGGTGGCAGGGGGCAAGGTAACGGTGAAGGTGGTGTTGGAGAGGGTGATGCAGGTGGTAAGGGCCAGCGTGCAGTGGGAGGGAGGGGAATGGAGTGAGTGCTATGGCCCAAGCCTCGCCTTCGCCTCGCCTCCGGCCCTCAGCCTCTGATCAGGCAGGTGCAACCCAGCCAGCCAGTCGACCACCAATCCACACGCACACACACACACACACACAGCCAGTCCATAATAAAACCAGTCCACAGCCAGCCCACCAGGTAATCGTTCACACGGCTCGGCACGTTTCCATCCGCAAGCGAGCCTTGGCGTACTTACATGTACCCTGCGGTTCCATACATCCATACACTGCCTGCGTACACTACATACCACACATACCCCACTCGACCCCACCAAGGCCTCGACTCGACTCGACTCGACTCCTTCGCTCCCTCGCTCCCTCGCTCCCTCGCCCCCTGCACACATGCCAGTAATATTACACAGCACATTCAAGGTACCACCACTCATATCGCCATGCAACTTACATACTGACTCCTGACACTGGACTAGTACCCCCCCGCTCCGTGTCTGCGATGCGGCTCCCAAATCGTCGTTTCGCCTATCGCTCCCATGTGCACAGTGCTCTGTCCACACCAAACGCCTGATGGCTCTGGTTGGTCATTGTCGCACGTAATCTACTCGACCTCCTGTGCAGACGTCATGGAGCCTGCGACGCAATCAGGAACAGCTGAGGTCCAAAGTGCACTGACAATCTTGTACAACTAACTGGTTGCCCTTCTTTCTCCCATCTTTCCGTGGCACCATACCAATGTCCCTACTCTCCCACGTACCCGACACGGCGGTACTCGTCTCGGCGGCCCTGGCTGCCCTGCTCGCCTATGTCGTGGCCGCCCTGACGTACAACATCTACCTGCACCCACTCGCCAGCTTCCCCGGTCCGCCTCTAGCTGGCGCCACCGTCTACTGGAAGGCCTACGTCGAATGCATCGCAAACCGATCTTTTTGCCACTACCTAGTCGACCTGCATGCTCGCTACGGCAACGTCGTTCGTGTCGGCCCCAATGAGGCAAGCAAGCAAGCAAGCATTCGTTACTTGCATCTACACCTACGCCCACTCCTCGTGCCGCATTGCTGACAAGCTTCGAATAGCTCCACTTTGCCAACCCCCAAGCCTACCATGACATCTACAACAACAAGAACCGCTGGGACAAGGAATCCCGTCTCTACAAGAGCTTCAACGAGGACAGGTCTAGCTTTGGCTTCCTCACCTATGCCGAGGCCAAGGACCGCAAGCACGTTCTAAACCCCTCCTTCTCTCAAGCCGCCATTCGCAGTGCAGAGAGCCTATGTGTCGACAAGATCAAAGCTCTGTGTGCCGCCTTTGAGCGCCAAGCCAGAGCTTCCAAGCCCACTGACCTCTTCTACGCTTTCCGCTGCATGAGTGTCGATGTCATCACCACTCTATGCTTTGGCAATCCCATTCATGCCGTCGATGCCCCAGACTTCAACGCGCCCATTGTAGTAGCCCTCGACGCGTCAACTCCCGTAGCCCTTTACTTCAAGTATTCTGATCTCTTCAAAAACTTCATTTTGAAATGTCCTCCGAAGATATCCAGGATTCTCAGCCCCTTGACGGCGGGCTTGATCGACCTCAACCAGGTATGCCGACTTCCCGCCCCCCAACGTGATTGCAATACCAAACAAAAAAAAATAGCCAGTTTTCGCTGCTGACAAGTTCATAGCTACTCCTGCAGCAGATCGACGACCTAACCAATGATCCGGAAAAACTCAAACTTCTTCCGCACAACATGACCATCTTCCACCGTTTAATGGACCCCGAAGCCCATCGTGACAAAAAGGTTCCCTCTGCCGATAGTTTATATGAGGAGACGCAAGCACTCATGTTTGGTGGTGCAGATACGACCGGAAATACTCTCATGGTTGGCTCTTTCCATTTGCTAAAGGACTCCACTAAATTGCAAAAACTTAAGACGGAACTTCTGGAACATTGGCCTTCTCTCCAGGATGGTGAGCCTAAGCTAAAAGACTTAGAAGACTTGCCATACCTGAATGCCGTCATCAAGGAATCGCTGAGGCTCTCGTCCGGCGTTACTGCTGGCCTACTGCGGGTGGTACCTGCAACTGGCGCAACCATAGCGGGAAAGGTCGTGCCACCAGGCGTACGTATATTCTCAACTCCAACTTATGACAAACCATCTGCTGATTGTGTCACAGACTATTGTGTCATGTGGTAGCACCTTTGTCCATTACAATGCAGACATATTCCCCGAACCAGACAAGTTTGTTCCTGAACGCTGGCTTGAGACACCCGAGCTGGACAACTGGCTGGTCGCTTTCTCGCGTGGTCCGCGAATGTGCTTGGGTATCAAGTAAGTTTGATTCAAGTCGTAATTCTGCTATTATGATTGTAGGGCCAGAACTAATATGTTGTAGCCTTGCATGGGCCGAACTGCGCCTAACATTCGCCCACGTCTTTCGCAAGTTCGAAATGACTGTCCCAAAGCAACTGTACGTCTCCCACCATCCACCTAGCCATTCCATTCTTACTCGAACGCCTCCATGTTATATGCTGACCATACACAGCCCAGAAACGCTCCTATGGCGGGATGTCTTTTTGCCATATTACTATGGCGAACACTTACAGGTCAATATGCGCCCCGTAGACGCGTAGGCTGCTCGCGAGCTGCACGTCCAAGCAAGCAGTTCTCCATGGCAAATAGTAAAGCAAGGAAGCGAATACGTATAAGGCTCGAGAGAGAAAAAATTCCAGGTGTCGAAAGCTCTAAGCTCTAATATTAATACATTTTGCACAAGCGAATGGGTGGTGCTTGTGGTGGCGATTCGCTGGATCAGAAATGACAAGAAACTGCGCTACATAATCGTACATTGCATACCAAAAAGCGCCGTTGCCTTGTCGTCATTATTAACATCTTTTCTCGCCTCTTCATAAATACACGGGCTACCTAGACTGCAAACGATGCGCCAGAACCGTGAATATATCCAAAGCGCTGGTACAAGGGCGTGATTGGAGTGGTTGTGAAAAGAATCATCCTCCTATTCCCTTTCCTCGTGCACTTTGTCCCACGCGTCATACCATCCTTTCATCTCCCATCTTCTTGATAACATCCACTGCTTTGTCTTCTCATTCCCAAAAAGGAATGGATGATCCCACCACTTTTCATGCACACTGTATAAACCTTTTTCAATATCCTGGTCGTTTGGCCAGCGGATGTTCCACGTGTAGGCCAGTTCGCGCCAGGGCATGGGGCCGTCCCATCGATGCGCGTAATTGATGAGATTTTGCTCCTGATATTTTGGGTCAAATGAATTGGGTGTATTCATAAGCGACTTGTAGTACTCAAAGGCAGCGAGTGAAGGTGCCAGTATGAAGAAGCCCGCATTCATATATCCAGGCTTCTTCAACCCCGTGCTATGGGTTGGAGGAAACGAATGGGTCGAATTCCACACTTCGGAATTAGATGCGATAAGGTAGGTCGAGGGCAACGTCGTGTTTGTCGTAGTATCTGAGGGGTTTGTAGTAGCAAGCAAATGAACAGCTGGATCGTCAAACACGGGATCTAGTGACTTCAACAGCATCGAGTCGGCGTCCAGCATGAGGATCCTGTCATATTGCACCATTTCCCACGCGCGCATTTTAGTCAAGATGTTGTTCCAGCGCTGGACGCTCGTCTTCAGCCATGCGTCATTTGGTGTGTGGAGAAAGTCGACCGCATGCACAATTGCGCCATCTCTTTTGAGCCGGTCCCGTCTCGCCTGCGACACATTGGGTGTAACCATGACAATCACATCGTGCTTTGTTCGCGTGCTCGGATCGTGCAATAGCTGCCACAGGAGGATGCGCGCCGCGACGAAATAATTGTCCTTTTCTAAATCGTCGCTTACATCCATGTCTTGCGTCATGAAGATCATGTATGCATATTTTTTCGTATCCTGGTTTACTTGCTCTGTCGCTAACTTGTACGGCGGTGGCGTTGGTATGGGTGGTGTGGGCTCGGTCGGTTTATCTTGTGCAGTTATCTCTTCCGGCAGCGTTTCGGGTGTAGGTATTGCATCCACTGGTTGTCCTTCCCATAGTTTCCCATCAGGTGGCTCCTCCTCGATGGATGGCTTCTCTTCGATGGCGGGCGATGGTATGGGACCAGTTAGTTTCTCCATAGCAGACGACGGTGCTAGATCGACCGGCTCCTCTTCAGCAGACAAATCATCCAAGATAAGTGGTGTGTCTAGGAAAGACAACTTTTCTTCGACAGCCTTGGAGCCCTTGTTTCCAAGAACATCTTGTGAAGGTATCTTTTCGAATTGCCGATGTATAATCTCACTCTGCGTACTGAGGAACAGAAATATTGAAACAAGAAGAAAAGAACTCAGCGTGGTTCGGAGCCACCGTTGATTGACGGGATGATTGTTCCAGGACTTCATGGTAGCGTAAGAGCCTAGAGTAGCGGCACTCAGAGTCGAAGGCATTGAAGGGCATTGCCCTTTAGTTACATATTCTCATACGCCTCAACATAATCCCTCTTAACACGTACCAAGAGCGCCAATCCGTCTCGTGTTACTGAACAAGAGCGTAAGCACTCATCAAACTCTATCAATGTAAGCTGTCTTCCCGTCTTACGGCCGGTTTCGGTGCTCACTTCCCGATTAAGCACCTAGCTTGGCACTGCGTATCACCCAGAATCACCATGGAAGAATATTTGCTGGAACAATCTCACTTTCCGTAATTTTCGGAAGGTTGCATGTCTCAAAGTGTTGGATATAGACGTATTGCTGGCGTGAATATCCGCAATGAGAGATGTTAGGTTTGAATGCGGGAAAAGGAAGACCAAGTCGACGGTCGGTTCTGGGCGTAGTGACATTTATAATACAGATATAAGCACTGAGACAGGCTTGAGCATGTGTTATAAATTCTGAAGTTGGCACTCTCGTACCCGATGAGTTCCGATGACTCGTCACCCCTTGCGTTGTCAAATTTGGTAGCTGACGTATATTTCATGTATCTGACTAAGACTCGACGATCAAGGTCATCAAAACTCCGGTTGTCACACTCAATCACAACTTGAGATCGATCTGCAAATTTCTTGATAGATCGAAATGAAAGATTCGTCGCTTTTTTCGGCTTTCAATTACCTTTGCCAGCACTAACCATTCCACATTGCTGTGCAGGTGGGCGTGTTGCGCACGATAGCATCACAGAGTAATATTTTTATTGCTATCTCACAAAGGGTGGTGTTCCTAGCTAAAGACAGTGCTATTATGCATGAAACAATCTTTCGACCCTATCACCTCTGAGCTGACAAGTTAGTAAACGTGTGGAAAGAACGTGCCGCAATACGTCGCAGGTGGACTTACATCAAGGGTAGATTTACCATAGCTTGAGTAACAATACTCACTCCGATTTCGAAATGACCCCTCCGAGATGAATAATCAGAGGGTCGTCAGAAAGAATGTGCGTGGAATATGGGTAGGATAAACAGGCTGAGTTGAGAAACATACGGTAACGTAACCCCATGAAAGATATAAGAAGGCCGGGCAGTTCAACAATTAAGAGAGGGTTGGAGTTCCTACTGGTTGGTTTTCCCACATTCATCTTGCGTACAAAGATAGTGCATGGTTACAAACGGAGGGAGTGAACTATGTATCAGTTCCTAGCAGATTTATTGAAGTGTCTTCTACGTCTATAACTGAGTAGTGCTTATTAGAATCTCTCAACACCGCTGGATGTAGTACTGGGAACGTTCGGATATAGGCCCACAAATTTACTAAGATAATACGCGATACATGTGTATTTGCATTTCGATGCGTGGACAAGGGCGACTCATGTACAGGCTGCTCCCTGCTGCGAACGCGTACAGAATCCCCCGAAGCACGCTTACCACCCGAGTACAAGACACAAAATTCCATTGATTTAGTTACAGCCAGTAGGAAAGATTATCTTCAAAGCAGGGGTGACTTCCTGGTCGCAGCTTTAGTTGCATATTACAAATCGGGTCCCCAGAGGTGTGTGGTAGACGAGGAAATGCGATCTGATTAGCTCTGATCATCTCTGTAATTATTGGCTGTGCTAAGATATCTGGATCTCCGTAATTGAATACCTGGCGATTGGTTATGCGATGAATATGAGAGTCTCTAATAAACTAGCTAGAAACCAGCTAGTAATAGGTCAAGAAACTTCGTTCTCTGCAGCATTCCCTCGATACAAAGAGCCCGTCCTACATCATACATATAAAATATATAATTCTAATGACCTTGCTAGCAGTCCTGAAGAAGGGAGGTAACTTAAGCAGTAGATAGCGGTTGTAACATCAAGCTTCAGCTGCACCACCCTTTAGTACTCCCAGTCAGGTTGCCAGAGTCATAATGTTCATATACATAATGTTGAAAAAAAATATTACTATCAATCTAGACTTTTCACAAGCTTTACAAGAATTATGAAATTGTTGTGGCTGAGATATGAGAGTGTTGGTTTTGGGATTTTTGGTAGGGTTTTGCGTGCGTAACTTAAGTACCGACAAAACATGATAACTTGTAGAAGATGTTGGGTAAACAATTTAGAACAAAAAACACTTTTAGGACCCATTGACTAGCGATGGAATGAGTTTTAAACTCCAGACTGAAACCCTATTTCTTAAGGCAATAACAGTACCCAGCAATCAAAGTACATTGCTCATTATCGCAGCAGTAATAGGCACCGCATGGCCAAGTACAGATATAGCATGCTAATGATACTTCAGATATTGTATTGAAAGGAGGGATGCTTCCAGATGTATTGAATGAACATACCATCCTTCTTGCTAGCATCAATAGGCCCTTCAGATGCAGCAACCTGCTTAGCAGAATCTTCGATAACATCTATCAACATTTAGTTTTATCCCTTGCTAGCACGAGAATACGTAGTCCTTACTTGTGATTGAGCTTTCAGGAGCTGCGTTGACCGGTCCTCCCAACGAACCGGCGATGTGGAACATAAGGCAAAGAGCGATGACCTTGGTATTCATCATAGTGGAACGGTTATAAGCCAGAGATTGTTAAGGTATTGGAGTGATAGCTTGGTGATGCTACGTTGGAAGGCAGCTTGAGCGCTTTTATATGTTCAATGCCTCTGCCGAATAGCGAGCTTATCACCAACCAAGAGTTTTAGTACGTCTCTTACTGTAACATCTGGATCGCGCAGATGACTTTGAGGATGACCAGCCGCAGCTGAATGCGACCGAGCTTGCATCATATTTTTCCTTAGGGCCTTCCCTAAGTTCCAATCTTTTTAAGTTCGATTGTGATAGATCAAGGTCCTGTACTCTGCATTGGCGTTATGCGAAGCTAAATTGATCTTCGTTCACCAAAGCTGAATGTCTAATGTATCAGGCAAGCACTGGATGCAGTCATCGACGATAGGGATGTTTCAAATGGACTTCCAGCATCTTTCATACGCTTAGATGTTTTTTTTTGAGCTCCTACTCCCGCCCTGACTATCATGTTACACACATTGTTCGTTGATGTACATTCAAATGGTACGTCGTGAAGAGGAAAGTTGCTTAAATATTGTTAATATTCTAATCAGCACACAAGGGAATCAAGAGAGGAAGAGCAGAGTAAGATCATGTAATCTTATCTCCTCAACCGGAACAAGCGAACTATTGCCTATGGATATGTGCGGGATCATCCTAAAGCCGAGTTATACGAGGTTAGGTAAAGTGGGTTCCACGCAAAGGATAACCAAAAAAATGAGATTACGCCTGTCATCGAGCCTGCTTGATTGTTGCTTACACTATCCTTCAGGCTAGAAAAATCTGTTGCCTTGATCACCATGTCGGCCCTCTACAAAACCCCACGCAACCAGATAATTCACGCCACCAAAATAGTATATGACCGATAAAATCTATCCCCAAACTTGGATGCCCAATGATTGTTTACCTTGTTCATGTGGCAGCAGGAAGGGTTGGCCAAGCGGATCACCAAACCTACAACTTCAATTGATAGGCTTAGCAGCTAGTCCATGCCTCGCGGCCTAGGCACATGTCTAAACTGAGCATTCTCGTGAACACAGAATAAAAGATACCCACCAGCGTTGCTTACCAAAGGGCGCTTGATTCAATGTTGCCAATAGGCGATGTGTGATAGTATTGAACGGCTGAAGATCGGTTCATGCGGGTACTTGCGGTATTTCTGACGTAGTGACACAGCTGGTCCATTTTGTCATGGGTTTTCTTAGAATTTCAGGAGCGTGCATGTGAGGTATGGCAGTGAACGGCTACTTGCAATGTTATGCTGCAGTTGCCCGGTGCTAAGAGCTCTATTGAGAAGTGCATCTGCTGACGCTCAATCCACGCAGCTACTTCGTGCGGAGGCGGTACCATTCACATGGGCTTCAGCTGAACATTTTCAAAGGTGGTACACTTAAGCAGCAATATGACGGCCGACTAGTATCTCAAGGTAGCGGTACTGGTAAATCTTAGCTCTACAGTTCTGCATAGAACATGCAATTAGTCTTGCTCTTTCTCCCAGTACGGAAGCGGCTAGAGCAAAGTGCTGCATTGGATCAGCGATCAGAAGCATTGGCCGACGACTGACCTAGCTGAGCTAGAAGACGACGTATCTGTCACACTTCGTGGTGTGTGCTACTTGGTAAAATGCGGAAGTAGGGGCAGTGGGGCGGTGGCAGGATTCGGGATCATGTAATATACTAGTATCGTGAGATGGAAAGATTCAATATCATGAACCCACCAATAGTAGTCCGCGACGAGAAGACACTTAGTCTTAAGCGCTGGCTTGTTAGTCGTAATATAACAGTACTAGGAAAGCTTTGATCTATCCGAAATCTTACCGAGCAAAACTATGTATTTTCTCTACTGCCCCTACTTTCGCATTTTACCAAGTACCTTTTGGCCTTGCGGCTGCACCAGGGACAAGCGTGGATGCTGGATTGATTGGCTACGCATGGTACCTAGGGCGAAGAAGCTATTTCAACAGCGCGTACGGTGTAGACACCCAGCAGTCCGAGACTACCTTGAACAGATGGATCGTTTTCTAGAGCTACTCTGTCTTCCTGTTCATCTTACAGACGACCAGCCGCATCGTGGCCAGAGCTACCCTCCGTACGATGGCGTAACAGTGTGCTGCAAAAACCGCAATCTTTACGTCATAGGCGGCCAAGTCGCGTTTATTAATCGCTACCACAAGGAACAGTCGTAGTAGCACAGACCCAAGGTAGCCGCGCGGTTCTTGCCCGAGGTAGTAGACCAGTTAATGGTGCTATACCTACAGCCTCGTACGTGCGATACTACTTAGTAATAGCTAGGGCAAGGTAGTAGCTAAGTATTGCGCCAGCGAGCAACTACTAAGTACGTATCTCTGGGCTAGCGGCAGTGAGCCCTAACAAACCAATCACCTCACACTTTCCATGACATCAGAGTGCCGTCACGTAGAAGAGCGCTTCGCTGCAGGCTGCAACAAGGGTTGGGCGGAAAATCTGGATCTGTTGCTACTGCTAGCGGAGGTGGAGACGGCAGCTCAGACGAGGACGAGGATGCAGAAGATCCGGTAGAACTGCAGAACAGCTGCTCTACAGTGACCGGAGTAGTAGCGTACCCAGCGTAGGCATGTATTGTTTAGGGGCTGCGTCCGCGATCGATCAATGTGCGAACACTCGGCTCAGCGTAGCATCTGTACTTTGGGCCCTATCCCAAGCCGGGCGGTCTGCCAGCAGGGGAAATAGCAGAGGCAGTAGGATTACAAGAAAGAAAGTGGGAACAGGCGCCGAAAAGCCTAAGCAGGTCCAGCTATCGTCAATTTCCATGATACATTTATGCGATGTATCCGCTGTTTTCTCGAATTGCGGCGGACATGTTGATCAACGAAGCCCCTTTGCATATCAGATTGTAGTAGCAACGCAGGCGATACAAGCAGTCCATTTAGCAAGCAAGTTGTATATGTGGGCAAGTCGCACTGTTTCCTCATATGGTGCACCTGTAGCACAACCAGCCGCATCAACCCCGCCTCTTAGTGTTAAATTCGTCTTTGACTGCCATCTTTTCTTAGGTTCTCGGGACAGCGAACCTTGGCCCGTGTTCTTTCGTAATGCCAAGAAAACAAAAAAAAACAATGCATGAACGTGCGTGGCTGCACGGATCATTGCAAGAGCTGTGAGTCTGGCCGACCCCCCAAAGAGCCATTGCTGTTGCCCCGAGAAGTCAATGTGCGCTGTAAGCAAATGATCTGGAGGGAATACGGCGGGACATTTTGGCGTGTCTTTCCAGCACCGATGATAGAAATCGACTATGAATCGGCCACCCTGGATAGCTTACATTGCCGAGGACAATGTGCACGCGGGACTGAGCTGTTGGTTCTACGCTGACATAGTTCAGAAATATGTGATGTGCGGAAAACTATGCATCTGCCAGAGAATAATTCTTGAAGCTTGACTAGTGCCCTCACAAGAGAAAAAAAATGCAGTGATGGGCTGCCTGCAGCCCATTCTTCTTGGACGGCAGTATCCTCATATGCTCGGAATATCAGTGAAGCACATGGTCATTTAACATCAGTACGTGCAGAATATCCACAAATTAGCCGAAGCTAGCGTGTTTGGTTATGTTTTGGAGTCCCACTATCTCCAAGTAAAGAAAGCCTAGTCGTCTACTCATAACAGAGGCCTTGCGGCTAGAGCACAAGAAGAGGCACAAATACCTCCAAGAGGATGCAAGAAGAGTCGTGGCTTGCTGAAGAAAGAGTTGTATTTTTTAAATCCTGGAAGAAGCGGCCCCACGCGTCAAGCATCACCGACAATCATATGCCTCATGATTTGGACATATTCAGGATAGGTTTGAAAGTATCGGATCAAATACAATTGGCTTCAAGGATCAGAAATAACGATTATATGAAGAAGAAGACAGTACATAACCCAGAGTATGTACTGTCAGGCGTATAGAACAATCTATCCTTCCGTAGAAACAATGTTCGCATGAAGTCATTAGTAGAATTTATTATCAAGGCATGCTGAAGAGCGAATGAAATACTCATCCAGCCACGAAGCATCAAGAGTATATCGCAATCATGCAAAGAGAGAGTGTTCGGGCTGTGCAAGAAACTATCACATTAAATATGCTGGTCACGTTCGCGTATATGGTAGTATGTCCGGATTCTGTTTCTTCACTATTTCCTTATCTAACTATGCTCCGTGATTTATCGCAGTGCACATTATATGGGAGCCTATATCATCACTTGAAAAAGGTCCAGAAGCATTGCCGGCAGGATTACGGTCGACAGGGCAAGAGTTGGACGACAGGTCGCCCAGCCAGCACGCAAACGATGTGGACGACCAACGTGTCACGCCAGGAATGTAAGCCTTAGTACTGGTTCTAGATTTTTTATGTTAGAGCGCCAGTCTAAAACCATTGCACGACCCGCTGTCATCACTCACCTGCGTTAGTATGGACTAGGACCAGAGAAATAGTGCAGTCCCACGTGGAGCAAGCTGACCATGTATAGGACAGTTTCATAGCTTTCTGCACACGATCATGTTTTCGATGGTCGCATCACATGTGATATGTGGGTAGTGCCGCTTTGCTAGCATCAACCTGTCTTTCTTATCAGCAACTTGCGGTGCTATTTGGTAATAACGCCGCAAGTTAGTACGTGCGTAAGACCCAAGAATCCTTCTACGCGGCTAAAGTTAACCAAATCTATACCACGTGTGGTCTTCTTTCGTGGTAGCTTCCAACGCGATTCAGTCATGACATTGGACGCGAGGGTATCCATGAGTGCCAAGGTAGACTAATCTTACACTATAGGTATTGATATAAGCAGTAGGCAGATTCATCTCTAAGTTAGGCCTTAGGGTATCACTTTCTGGTCCGTGATAACGCATATCTAGTAAGTACCCCGCCTATAGCCTACTTTTTAGGAGTTCTGCTTACTACTAAGTACTCAAACCAAGCAACACCATGAGAGGGTGGGTTTGGGATAGCTGCATGGCATTATCCGCGGTGCACAATATCTGAATACATAAAGCGTCATCAATGCCTTCTAGAGCTATCACGCTGTTTTACACAGGCTATATCATTATACTCCTTGTCTCATTTGATACAACCTTTAACCTAGTATCCTCTGTCCGTCCACTATTATCAACTACCGACATGCATCTTACCACGATTTTGTCTGCTCTTGTAGCAGCTTCAGGCATCCTGGCAGCTCCCACGTCGCTTGAAATCGATGCTCGCGCTGTAGTCAATCACGACTCCCTCAACCCAATCCGGACTCGCTTACAACCAGGAGCGATTGGCCGGGCGATCGAAAGGTTCCAGCCTTTGCTGCACATCGCCCACGGTTGCCAGCCATACACGGCCGTTGACGATAATGGCAACACTAGGTAAGTCTACATGATGATGTATCTAAAATTCCAGTCCTCACATATCTCGATTGTAGTGGAGGTCTCCAGGACACTGGCAGTACCGACGGTGGATGCCGCGACCGGAACAAGGGCCAAACCTACGCCCGAGCTGCCTGGCACAGGGGCAAGTTTGCTATCATGTACGCATGGTACTGGCCCAAGGACCAACCTATCGCCGGCAATGTTGTAGGTGGACACCGCCACGACTGGGAAAGCGTCGTCGTCTGGCTCGACAACCCCGCAAACGCCAACCCCCGAATTCTCGGTGCCGCAGCATCAGCCCATGGTAATTACCAGAGAACCACGAGTCCACCCATTCAGGGCAACAATGTCAAAGTGGAATACTTTACAAGATTCCCCTTGAATCATGCCCTGCAGTTTACGAACACTCCTGGCCGCACTTATTGGATTAACGACTGGGATGCTATGCCCCAGGCCTCGCGCGCAGCTCTTACACCTGGTGGTCTCTTTGGATCTGCGAACGTGCCTTTTAGGCCCGATAATTTTTTTAGCAACCTAGACCGCGCCTTTGTCTAAATACATGTCTTAAGTAGGGGTTAGTGCTTACATTTCCCTTAAGTCGATCTCGATTAGAGTGCAAGCGTGTTAGTATATGCGCTACATGTAGTTTTCTCTTCGCCTAGAAAAACTATGTTTGAGAAGAATTTAGTAGACTGCTAATAATAATTGATATTTCTTATTGAAATTTTAAACAAAAGAGTACCAGAGGATTAGCCCTGTCACTCTAACCATTTTGCTGCATCTGTCGCTATTGTGAGTACCGAATCAACAGAGTGTGCGAGTGCTCATTTGCTGCGGGGGTAGGTACATATACATTGGATGCGGGAAGCATAAGCACATAGTACCGCCGTAGGGCGAACCGAGAAGCATATCGAAGTCCAACCAACAGGGCGCCTCCAACCTCATGATGCAATCTTCAACACCAGTCCAATTGTCATTGAGTACGCATGCCTGGTCAGATTTGGAGCCGACGTAGCGTATTCATTTTTGGCATCTTTGACGCTAGACAACATCCAAAGTCCATCATCCGTCAAGATCAACTTGCTGAACATGCACCGCTCTCTGCTTGTGCTATCTGTGAATATCTCCTCTTTGCTCCTAACTTCTCCCAATCCTGGACGAGTCGATTTTCTCTGACTGTTTTGAATCCGACCTCTGGGCCAGTCTGTGAGAGACAGAGCTGTCGTTGTTCATATTATAGGCCATCCCATTCGTCTCTCATGGAATGAAAACTATTGTTTCCTCCTGTAGCGTCTCCTGCCTTTAGATACAGTGATGCGACTTGCTCGCCTTATTCCTATGATCAGTTTTTTAGATCCGAAAATATCCGTGCATTTGAGCTTCGACAGCGTGCAGAGTGCAAGATCTATGTTCTTCCGCGAAGCGGAGTCGCTTTCAAACTACGATGCAGTACACGAGACAGGAGACACTGTTCGAGGAGCTTCGCTATTCACTTATGAAACCAGAGTGAATGACAGTTTCCGGATGAGTATATCCTGGATAAGTCTGGTAATACAGAATGCTGAGAATGTCAGTCCACATTGGAGGTCTTCTCCTAAGCCGGACACGGCAGCTCAAGACATTTTCACCGCATCTGGTCGTGCTGCGTAATCTCGCCGCGTAGCCAAACGCCACCTATACGTCTCACAACAAGCATCCCGACACTCAGTATGGCGAATCCGCAACCAGCGTTGGCAATCATCTCTCGTTATCCCATCATCAATAATGCGACTACGCGCTATCTACGTAGAGAGTCTTGCGGAGGGCAAACCAAAAGAACGCTTAGGACACACAGAGTAGGTTATCTCTTTAGGATTGGACCGCGTCGGCGATGACGAACAGCTAGATTATCAAAATCAATCTACCGCCGACAGCAATTGCGTCTTTTCACGGCATCTTAAGCCAGTTTCCATGCGCTACTTAGCAATCATCCTGTTCTTCTACACACAGCACGTTCTTGAGGCAGTCCAGATTAGCCCCCACCTTCCCGCTCCGCCGGATATCCCAACGCCAGGCGAGGTATAGGAGCGAACAATTGATAGGAACCGCGGCGTCCTCAGCCACGGTGCTAGAGCTGATTTCGTCATCGAAGACGTGGGCTTCACCGACGACTAGGTTTCAGAGTGATACAAGCTAACTACATCCTTAGAATGCAAGAGAGTGAAGCTGATAATGTTGTGTAGCGTTTCTTAGCAACTATTGCTTGCATCTTAAATATAGCATATAGGAGGAATTGTAGGAGACTTCCGGCGGATTCTCGGGGGACTGTTCAGTGGTGAAAGAGGTAGCAGTTCGCAGAGGATTTGGTAGTGTCTCGAAACCAATGTTCTTGTAGAAGGGGTCAGACCAGGGCGCGTGCCTTTGCTGATACTTGAGACTCTAATCGCTGCTTCAGTAGTATGAACATATAATTACAACACAAAGCTTTCCATGAAGCTAACTAAGAGTTGTACAGCCATGCGTAATTAGGTATAAGGTGTTCCCTCGCCACACACTCCTTGCGTGTCTCTTAGACCATAACTTCGCTTTTAGCCTAGATGCGCAAATAGTATTCAACGGGAAGCGCTTATAGTTCTTGAGATTGTCGATGAGGCTTTAGCAAGTCAGCAAGTCGCTGGGATCTATTTGCAGAACGGCCTAGGTAGAGAGACGTTATCAAAGGTAGTCTTGCAATACTGATATCAAAAAGCACGTTTTCACAATAACATAGAGCAAAAACCGGCAAGATACACCTTCACCCTGCTGTTCTATCCACATCGTGCATTGACGCTGCACCTGATCAACTGTTGTGAAGTAAAAGCAGCGGTTACAATTATGGCCATGCCGACAGAGACCAAGGACGTTCGCCAACGTCCCATCTCACAGGCTTATCACCCATATAGAATACAAGCTCGCCTCCCTGAGCAATTTCTTCATGCTTCAGCCAAGCTCGGTCGAGCCCTTTTCCGTTCCAAGTGACCTTTTGCGGGTAGTAGCTCGTGCTCGACATATCGCGAGTCAACACGGTCAAGAAAGTCTCTACTGACGTTCCGCTGAAGAGTGAGATATTCAGTGATGAGAAGCGAGGGGCAGAGAGGAGATAGATCGGTTGGCCAGGCACGGGGTACATCCCTACAAGATTGAAGATTAACCAGCTGGGTAGCGCGCCGCCGTCGATGTTTCCGGGGTACCCATTGCGCGCGTCGCTGTAGAAGGCGTCAACCGTGGCTCGTGTCTGATTGACTGTTTTCCAATGCATCCCAGGGACATAGTTGTAGAGGAACGGCGTTGCGAATGACGGTTCGTTGCCGGGATTGAAGAGGGCGGAGCCAGCATCGTTGTTCGCGCCAACCGATGTGCCGAAACCAGGGACAAAACTAGCATCCAGCCGACGAACGAGAGCCTCATCGCCGCCCATGAGATCGATGACTTTGGCCATGTCGTGCGGGGCGACACTGAATGCAGTCTCCCAAACCTTGGCCTCGTATATGTCGGCGTCCCATCCACAAGTTCCGCAACTTAACGGGTCATATGCAGTGAGGTTCCACGTGCCGTCCGCATTCCTTGCGCCTGGAAAGCCTGTGAATGTGCCGATGCCATCAAGGGTGGTGGTCGCCGTTGGATTCCATTGGTTCTGCCACCAGCTCGCTCGCTCACGCATCCGATCAACCGTTTCTTGAGGCTTGTCAAGTCCTTGCGCCATACTGTAAATCGCGAAATCGTTCTGCGGGTACTCGACGCCTCGAGAGATGCTGCGGGTGTGATTACGCGTGATGAAGTTGAGGGAGAGGTAGTCATCCAATGCTCCTCTTCCTTCCTTGGTGGCCCCGTCGAATGCCACCGGATCGACGTTGCGCTCAGGCATTACACTTGCGTCTTTCATTACTGCTCTGTAAGCTTCCTGCCAATCAATTGTACTGTCGAGCTCGCCGCGGCCTGTCTCGCCATTCAATGCGCAAATGCTTTTTACGAAAGCATCTGCTAAGACGATGTCTGCGTGCGTGCCACCTTGAACCCGGCCATTCCAGTTCGCTGCACGGCCAGCGGGTAGGTAGCCCTCTTCGGTGAATATTGAGATAAGCCCAGATAGAATACGGGAGTATGGTTTTGTGAAGATCAGGTGGTACAGGGGTAATAAGGTCCGGTACGTATCCCACAGTGTCTGTAGCAATTAGTCTCCACAATTTTGTCGGCGAGCGGTGGACGTACGTAGTGATCGTCGTAGTATGGTTTTGACTCATTTGACTCCCACACAGGGTTCTCACCCGTTTTGTCGGTTGGCATCAGGCCTGTCTGATACATGGCTGAATACAGCATCCGCTTCAATGTCGCATTGTTGCTTGTCGCATCGCCATCGTTTCCGATTCGTATCTTGCTTAGCACTTTAGCTTCCCACTCTTGCCTCGCTTGCTCTACCACGTCCTCGAAAGACTTTGCATCAGGAAGCTCGTTTTCCACGTGGGAGCACGCCTGTCTAGCACTAATGTACGAGATGCCCAGTTTGGCTTCAAGGGTAAGGGTACCGTTAACTTGCGTCTCTGTTGGTGACCAGCTAAACAAAGCACCAATGCCCATTCCGCTCCCAGCGTAGGATCGCACATCAGGATATCCCCTGGGCACTGGCCGAATCGTCGGTGGCGAGAAAGGGTTGTATTGCCAACTGAATGTACCAGCACCAGAGGCAATACTCGAGTGCTCTCCCTGTACATAGTCCGACGTTGGGGTTAACATGGAGTTTGCAGGGACACTGAAGTTTCCGCAAAAATGGATCCTGTGAGAATCAGGCTGTGGCCAGCCGCCCGTGTAGGATGCAGACCCATGGTATGACGGCAATGCGTCGGAAGAAGATGGGACATGCAGCTCCCCACGCAAGAACTTTTGGGAGTAGGCCATCGAAGAGTAGGCTGGTAGTACGTGCGTGAGGTCTACAAGTACGTGCGCATCGTATTCGTTCGTTGCACTAGCCACTGCCATCATTGTATCACCACTCGAGGCGGATGAACGGTTCGAAGAAGCTTCCAGCCAAGGAAACGTGTATCGTATGAATCCTGTGTGGTTCCCTGAAGTGATCTCGATCTTGACACCATTTTGCAGAGTCGTAGTGAATAGACCTACAGTTGCTGATTCGAAATCAAGACTACGATTTTGAGCATAGGTCATATTGTCGGCGAGGTTCACGGAGGCTAGATTGCCAAGGATAGGCATCTGCGATACCAACCCGTCTATATCTTGTCAATACTGATAATTGATTGCAGAAGCAGGGAACTGACACGTTGGTGCTCCTCCAGATCCGCTGACATGGGTCATGCTCACAGCCGTCACGTTGCCCAAAGGTGTGTATCCAGCATTGGCGTCCACTGCACTACCATTTGGAAGTCCGATGTAGCTCGTGTCGATTCCAGGCTTTGCTATTGCCCATGGTAGACTCGCACCCGGAAACGAGTTTCCACCTGCTATCGCGGAACCAGGGCGTGGGCCGACAGTACCGATCAAAGGGTCTACGAACGACCACAACGGCTCCTGAGAACTATCATCTCCCGAAGCCGCCGAAACAAGGCGTGTGTGTCCAATGCTCGTTCCCAGGAGGAGGAGGAGGCGCGATAGGCAAGGCCGCCGCTGACTAGCCATTCTGGATCGCATTGTCGCACAAACTGTAGTAGCGCTCGCGTTAGGCAAGGGCAGCAGCTGACGATTGCGACTTGTACCTCACGACATATGCTGAGAGCGAATCTCTGTTGCCGGCTCTTCGCGGTGCGAAGGCGAGGCCATTGCGGTGCCCTGCATACGTGCCTGCGAATGAGGATCCAGGGCTGGCCCGGCAGTCATCGTGTGCCGGGACTTTCATCGCGTCCGGCCTTCAGTGCCCCGCGATCTTGCTACTCCACAGTGGCAGGGTGACGTCGGGCAACGGGGAGAAGGACCGATTCCATTCGGGCTGGTAAGGCGATAGTGCAATCGCAGCGGTCTTAATCTTTCAGAGCTTGGGACGTACTTGACTTGTCCAAACGCACGGATGTCTTTGCTCCCTCTTTTGTTGTTATGCGACTCGACGTGTTTATTCCAAGCAGATTTTTAAGGTACATTAAAGTGTGTAGAATAGAGGAGAATCCCATACAAAGAGACTTGGGCCTACAAATATCAGTATTAAAAGTCGTCGACAGCCTTTCTCAAAGAGCTTGTCAGCACTTACTCACTTAGGATTCGTGCAACTAAGTAGCGCACAGTGTGTTCCACATGGTGCTCAAGGGCTGGAAGAGAACGCGTTCTGTCACATTGTGCGCCCCACCACACTTAAATAAAAGTTGTTCAGATCATCCTTTATGTTCACGGCTGCAACACGACTTTAGCCACGATTTTTGGTTAGGCTATCTAAAAACGCCGATACCGTCGCTATACTTACTAGTGAACGATACAGCTACCCTATTCATCGGCCCTCCCCGGAGTATAGCAAATTACAGCCCTCGTTTTCATTAATGTTAGTGACTTTATAGCTGTATATAAACTGCGCTGGACTGATTCTTCATGAGATCCTCAACGCGATTAAGACACAAACCACGATTTCTTAGTTAAACTTATTCCGCCAGCGCGTATCATGCTCTGTTTTGTTACCTAACTGCTTATTGCCTACCAATATGAAATCATTCTTCTACCTTCTAGGATACTTTACCTTAAGCATTCCTTACGTGTATGCAAGCGATTCCTGTTGGAATCAGGATTGCTAAAACGGTGGTGCGGGCAAAGTAGGGCACCTTGTACCTGCGATTATGATTGGGAACATGGTAACGACGGCCGATGCACTTCCGATCGCAACGATATTAGCGTAAGGATTTTTCACATGTAAAATACATCGCTGACATAAGATTAGGTGTGGAACATCCCTTAGATTAAGATCTTCCGCAAGCTTCTCCTACAATAAATCGCGAGTAAGCTTTGAAGTCTAAAAATATTGTCTCTTATTAATCGACGTTATGAATTTAGCTTGAAGTATGATCATCAACATGTAGTCGCTTTTCTGACGGGTTCCATGGGGTTAGGTTTACTTCATTGTTGTACGTTTATCATTGCCAACAAGTACGTATGTACTGCTAAAAGAAAGATATCTTCACTGAATAGACAATGCTCCCATAATTATGAATGGGCACGTCTTGTCATACTTCTCTGCCTTGGCAAAGCTGATTCGCGGTTGATTGTCAACAGCAATTTCAGCCCATGTCTCAGCCGTTGGATTGAATCGTGGCCAGCGCAACTTGTCAATCAGACCATTCTGAGGGTCAGCGGTGAATTCAGCTACTGCTCTCTGGAAGAGCTTGATGGTATCTTTCTGAGGTTTGGTCTCAGGAAGTCCACTAGTCTCCTCTGAGCCTCCGAGGATCATATGCAACTCAGAACCGTGATAAGCACCGCTCGTTGGGTAAAGACGGGTATTTTCCCAGTCGCCGTAGTAGCGGTACACAAAGGTTGGAATGCTGTTAATGACAAGATTCTTAGCTTCGTAGGATACAGGACAGACAAAAGATTCTAGTAAGAATTGAGAAGCCTGTGCCTCTGTGATGTTACGTCCAGCTGCAAATGCCGGGATCACGTAGTATCCTTGCTCGTTGTTGTTGTGACCGAGAAAATAGGGTAGGCGGGCAAAGCTACCGGCTTTGGCGAGTGCCTTGTAATCACTAAACACAAGTTTCTCATCGACAACGGGGTAGAAAGGTGGAGTAGACCGCACTGGGCTTCCTCCAGGACTGACTGGGATCTTTGCAGCAGCTAAGGAAATGGTTTCCCATGGTAACCCACGCATGCAAGCAAGAGTATTGCTTGAGGAAGCGCAACCGACGGCAGTGGTGAGGTTATTCCAGTTGTCTTTCTGCTTTTGGAAATTGTTCAAAGGGAAACTGAACACGGTTCCGGAAGTGGACATGAGGCCGTGGACAATGGGATTCTGCTCGTACGCATATGACCACCAATTCACTGAAACACCGCCTGACGATTGTCCAGCAATGACCATGTGATTTGGGTTTCCTCCAAATGCTCTGATGTTCTCTTGAAGCCATTCGACTGCAAGGCGCTGATCCTGTAACCCAAGATTGGTATCGGCTCCTGGTGCACCAGGGAAACCGAAGACGTTTAAACGATAGTTGACCGAGACTACAACTATATCTTCTGCATTCGCAAGATGCTGACCGTTGGCAAAGGGCGTGTTTGACCCACCTCCGGCAAAACCTGCTCAAGGTCAGCGGGAAACGATTGCATGTTTTTGTAAAGACTGAAAACCCACGTCCTCCATGAAATAGGATCAAAACCGGTTTATCCGAGTGCACAGACTTGATCGATGGTTTCGCCCAAATGTTCAATTTTAAGCAATCCTCACTCCGCTGTGTACCGGCAGCACTGGTGAAGTAGTTCAGTATTCGAACGGCCTGTGTAGTGAAACCCGGAAACTTGGGCTGCGTCGCAGCTTGTTGCGGGCAGTCACTATGAATGGTTGGAAAGGGGTTGGCTTCTTTTTGCAATGATCACTGCTTACAATCCCTGTGCAGCAAATTATCCACAAAATTCCATAAAAAGCATTGGATTGCAGTTGAATCTCATATTGCGCCGGTACTTACATAATCTGCAGCCATATAAGAACCTTTTAAACTATATTTCTTGGGTGCAGCAAATCGTAGGTTCCCTAATGGGGGCTGGGCATAGGGAATCCCTAAATACTCCCAGACGTCTTTAGCATTCGGTGCGCGGTGGCCGGTGATAGCTCCATTCTGTGTTTGAACTGTCTTGTAGGATTCAGTCGATGTATCATTTGTGAGCGCGAATGCGCAAGGGCACAGAGCAGCAATGAGAAGAGCACGCATCTTGTAAACTGTGAGATTGTCGGTAGAAACAAGAATGATAATGTGAGGAGTTACGAGTGCGTAGCCTGTGTTACTTATGCTCGGATGACCCTTGTGTCATCTGCGCCACCGCGGAGAAAATTCCGATTTTGGAAGCGGAGGTACACTATATTGGACAATGATGGTGGGCGCCTAATGCACCCTTTCTTCTACGGCCTGAAGGACACATGTATTCAACCCTCGAGGACTCATACAACACGCCCTTTGACCTGTTTGAGATTCTTAACGTTAATATCGCGCCAGAAGTTTGCGCAGATGAAAGCACAAGCGAGCATACAGATGCTAGTGATCAGCATTAAGCGCTGAGAATCGGCATAAGACTGAGCAATACCAACCCGCTCAGGAGAGCCCCACTTATAGGATAGCTGGGTGCGGAGATCTGCATAGATGTTGGCAATATTCACATGGCTTGGAACATTTTTGATAAGGTTGCTTCGGAAGGTGCCTGTCCAGATGGCAGCTGAGACAGTGCTGCCTACCGCACTTCCAATCGAACAGAATAGGTTCAGCACAGCGAGAACAACCGCAATATGCTGGTGATCCGACGGTGCCATCATGGCCATTTCTCCTGCAATGACAATTGTGCCGCCGGCGACAGCAGTGAAGATTTGGGTCATGATAATATAACCGACATCGGTTCCCGGCTGCCTGAAATAGATCATCAAGCCGATAGCAAGAATATCAAGGGGGAGGGCGAACCAAGCAGCCGTCCATTTGAATCTCCCCGTGTAACGTATAGCCGGGCCCAGAGCTAGGAAGCACCAGCCACAAGAGACTACACGATATATGCTTGTAACATAGCTCGCTTTGGTGATGCTCAGATTCCATACAACTTGGAGCATGGAACCAAAGTAACTTCCCCATACAGCACTGTTGAAGAAGTTGAAGAGAAGCATCATTCCAGCCAGGAATACAGTACGATCGAGTAGAAGCTGGTAGGGAATGAAGGTGACAGGTGCCAGAAATTTTTCCCACAATGGAAAAATGAGTAGCAAGATGAAACCAGTCACTAGCATACCGATGATCATTGGACTTTCCCACCTCTTTTCCTGGTAGCTGTAGAGACTGAATGGTAGAAGAAACAACGCCATCCCAGAGATGAGAATCAGGATGCCGACAAGATCAATCTCTACACAGAACTTGCGGATTGCGGCCATGTTGCAGCGGACTTTTGTGGGCTCCAGCAAACCCAACTTCTTTGCTTTACGGTCGTTCCAGAGAAACAGAAAAGCAAGAGGTATAGTGACGACAGGAATGACAATGGCGAATATCCCAAACGCCCACCGCCATCCCGCACCTCCAGGACGAAGCAAACTCTCAGAGATGGGGCCGCCGAGCCAGGTTGTGATTATATAGGGCGAGGTAGCAAAAGAAAGCATGAATGCGCGGTTCTTAAGACTGGAAGTATCTGCGATGAAGACGGTCAGACAATAACTGACACCCTGGGAACTGATAATGTGTTAGTATATGAGAAATACTCTCGTTGAAATGGCTGCATACCCGGTGCTTGAGAAGACCTGAGCGGCCGCATAGGTCTGCACGTTCTTACAGGTGGCCATCATGATATAGCCGACGATCCAAAGCGTGAGCATGAGTAGCATGCCTTGAGGACGACCCCAGATGTCAAGAAGTTTGGCAAGTGGGATTTTGGAGAGTCCTCCAATGATGCTGGACATGATTCCAACAGCGGCAGTCAACGAGTGCAGACGAAACGCACTGACGACGTAAGGGTTCATTGCACGAACAACGACTTCCTGCAGAGAAGTAACAAAGTAAATCCACCAAATTCTGTGACTTGTGTTAGTGCCAGATCTATCTGCTCTTCACAGCTGCCTACCCACATGACATAAGCTCCAATGAGATGCCATTTTGTCCAAACTGTTGTAGCGGCCTGTACAGCCTTCACACCAGTTTGTGCGTTGACTGAGATGGTTTCTTCATCCTTCGGTGGTGAGGCAGGCCGACCTTTCTCGGGATCTGTCGCATCGTGGCTGTTCGGGTGATCGACGGAAGCTACATTGAGCTTATCAATCTTTGATAATAGATTAAATCCCATGTTCAATTGTAGTCTCTTGGACTAGGCATAAAAGATTGAGATCTTATTAGAGTGGCCTACTCATGTAAGACAAACACAGCAGTATTATACCCTTCCAGCGCCTCGAGATCAGCATAGACGGCCCACATTAGGAAGAGCGGCAAATGAGGTTACAGTCGCTTAAAGGATGACACGCCATCGTATGTGGATATCGGCACCGCATTCAGGAGATTTATAACGAATTCGCGAGATATTCCAGGAATAGAGACGGGGATGACATGGTAGTTCGGCTTAGTAGAGACTAGCGAAGAAGATTTTATCATATCTGATCCTGAATGATCTGATCTGATAATCAGAAAGTGGGGCCGGCATCGCCGAAGTTCGGACATTAGGCTTAATCAACGCCGCCATCGTCTCTGCTCGCGATGGCGAGTTTGTACTTTTTCAACATGTAATGAAAATATTACTAACGAAAATCCTGAACAATAAGCATTCGGGTTTTGTAGTTCCGTTATCTTCGTTACTATGGACTGGTCGTCTGTGCGTGAGGCAGAATACACCCCTGCTCGCAAAACTAACGTACCTTCGTCTAACAACATTAACCGTTAGTTACGTCTAAAGAACAAACGTACCTCACAGGTTCGTGCATCGCACGGCTTCGTGCATCACTTTTGCTAAGACCCTACTTAAACACCTACCCTATCTAAATATCGTAATGATACTACTATTTAGAGCACTTTAGTAAATATTAAGTATAGCTTACTTTTTAAGCTCTTAAATAAAACGCGAATCTCTCTATATAATATACTATAGGTATTTTTAGGATAAGTTAATTATTAATAAGCTATTTATATATAGGATAGACTCTATAAATTCATTACTAGCCTAAAATAATAGATTTAACTAACTTTAAAAACATCATTATTAAGTATAACGTGGTTCACAAGCGAGTCGGCCACCCAAGCGAGTCGGCCACTTTGCACCGGCGCTTCAACTGCGCAACAACAACGCAAGATACCCTAATAACAGATAGCTTAACAAAGTTATACTGAAGCTGATATACAACTTGCTCTTTTTAATATTAAATCCTACCGTGTTAAAAGTAAGAGACGTGCTGCTGCTATCTATAGCGTTCCTCGAACAACAATACAAGTGTGAGGTGTTTCGCAGATAGGCACAAGATATATCAGATAAGTAGATTAAGACGAATCCTTGGGGGGATACCCAAGGGTTCTAGCAGGACTATATACTCTATCTCTGTGGCTGTCGCGCCTCCGGCCCGAGTAGTCTCCGACGGGTCCCCGAGGGCTGGCCTCTACTGTCTAGAGTATCGTGACAATAGTCCCCCCCTTTCTTAAGCGTCATCCCGACTGCTTAGTTTTTCTCTATATATATTATAAGGCTAGCGTGCAGATTATCCATCTTACGTTATTTAAATCTTCTAGCTCGTTAGCTGCCTATTGCCCGTTAGCTGTCTGCCGTCGTGCCTAGGCTTACCCGTAAAGTTTTGACATCGCTCTTCTTATTAGCCTTATCAGGTTTAGCTAGTCGCGCAAATAATTCTCCCCTATGTCTCTTCTATAGGTTTCTGCTGCCTTACTGATCTCTTACCTATAAATAAAAAAAAACCTATATTAGAAAAAAATTTATAGGTTAGTAAGATTACTTTAGCTATTTTATAAGCGTATAGTCTACCTTTACTATACTACTATATTTAGTCTATTACTTTTACGTTAGCGATTAGTTATTCTATTATTTATTTATAACGTAATATTGCCTTTTATTTAACTAGTGCCTATCTATTAGTAAGGTTACGGGTTCTAGCTAGATCTTTATTAGGTTAGTAAAGGAGCGGTCTTTTACTATTATAGGCATATAAAAGATGCTTTATAGGCGACTCTACTTCTCTTCTATAATACTAATATCTATTACTATAAGCTCTACTAACTCGCCCGTTTCTTAGCATAGTATCCTTAGCTTAGTCTCTAATAAGGCTATCTCTACTTATATCTATAACTTACCGCAGTATTTATAACCCTAGCCGCCGCTCGTCTACTCTGCCTGCACTAGCTACCTTACCTCTCTTACTACTAAGAGTAAGAGTAATATCTCTAACGGAACTATTATAGGCTTAATCTAAGTTTTTCTCTATAGCGAGTTTTATACTTACTCTACTAGTTATAGTCTCTATAACTTCTATTAAGTCTATTATAAAGGTAGCTATACTCTAATAGATTTCTATAGTTATTCTCTTAACTCTACTTCTACTAATTAATTCTTTCTAGGTTAAGCCTTACTTCTATTATATAACTAATCTATTCTTCTACCTTATTAACTACGCTCTACGTAAGACCGCTAGTACTTTCGCCGCTAATAGATATACTAACGTTAAGACGATAATTAAGGCTAACTCTACGCTTCTAGCTAATTAGTAGCAGGTCTTTAACTACGCGACGTCTCTCTAGACTACTCTTATTAAGTACTTAAAGTAGGTCTAACGGGAGATTAAGAAGTTAGGTCTTACTAAAGCTAAATAGGCAAAAGCTTAGTAAGTCTCTAAGACTTATAGTTTAAACTAATATACTATAAGTATATCTATTTATTCTTTATTTAGATAGCGCTAATATATATTATAGACTAGTTTAGATACTTAAGGTCTTAACGCTCCTACTAACGTAGTTATTTCGCCCTCTATTAAGGCTAACTTTTCTTATAATACTAGCACTCTAGCTACTCTTAAGCGTTAGTACTATTATAGGCCTAACGTACTTAACACCGCTAAGGTTACTACTCTATACGCTTCTAAGGTGTTCTTTAAGAAGTATTAGTTTAATATCTCTCGTCGTGCCTCTAATCTAGCTAATAATAGTATTTAACTCTCGCCCTCTAGTAATCTATTTATAGAGTAGTAGGTAGCTCTTTTCTTCTATAAGAATATAAGGTTTTCTATTTATTTTTTCTATTACCTTAATTTATTATAATATTATTTAAAGTTTCCTCTTCTCTCCTCTTCTTTAGCTAGGCCCTCTAGGCTAGCCTCTAGATTTTAGAGTATCTTTATCCTATACGCTCTCTACCGCGTGTCTATTAGATCTCTAAGAGCTAGCTACTATATTAGCTATATATTCCTAGAGAATTTCTTTATAATTATCTAGGTTACCCGCTAGTTTCTACGTAGAGAACTCTAGTAGCTAGCCTAGCTACTTTACTCTATACTCTTATCCTCTAGCCTTTATATTCTTATAATCTAAGATTCTCTTAACCTTATATCTATCTATAGTATTAGTATCTTCTAAGATCTAGATTAGGCTAGACTAGAAGTTATAAAATTTAAACGGTTCGTTCTATAGTTTAAGTAAAGAGATATTAAAAATAGAATATAGTTAGGCTATTAACGTAGGTAAATTAAGCTAGTATACTAGCTTACTAATCTTCTTTATTACTAAGAAGGGTCCTAAGTATCTTACGTTAAGCTTCTTTAACGGACCGCTTATAGTTATATTCTTTATCTATAGTAGTACTAAATCCCCTTCTATAAAGTAAAGAGAGAGTTAGGTTATATTATACTATTTAGCGTTCGTCCTCTAGACTTTCTCTAAGCTACTTCTTACTATAGTAGCTAGATCGGTCTACTTCGTTAGGTAGATACTTACTTACTATCTAAGTTCCGTCGTCGTTCCGCCCTCTATTTATAGAGCTAATAGTTTCTTTAGCTAGTACTTATCTAGAACTCTATTAAACCTCTTTAGGTCTATTTTAAATACTACGCGTATTAGAGTATATTTATAAGTAGAGTACTTCTTTAAGTTATATACGTATTCTATATATAAGAGAAGTTTTATTTAGTTATTTTATCTATAATTTATATAAATTTATAGGTAAGTCTTAAGTTTCTAATTCTACCTTTTAGTTTAGCTATTAGTTTAGAGATAGAATATAGTACTTAGCTTATAGTTAATCTTTAAGTAATAATATATATCTAACTAGAATTAGCTTATAAATACTAATCCGCGATCTAATACTAGTATGTCTAGTAGCTCTATTTTTAGAAAGTATTAATTAAGTAGTAGCTTAGCTACGCTCTAGACTATAATTACCTTCGTTATAAGTAGGTACTAGACGTACTTAGAGAGTCTATCTACTAATACTAAGATAGTATTATATATATTTCCTCTATCGTTCTTTAACTACGAGAGATCTATTATAAAGTTAAGTAAGTAGTGTCTCTAAGCTATTTCTAGAGCGGGCAGAGGGACTAGCAGTCTCTATAGTTTATACCTTCTAATCTTATTTAGTTAGTATATAGCGCACTACTTAATATATTTACTAACCTCTCTCTAGATATATAGTTACTAATATTTTAATTTAAGTAGTATAATAGTCTTATTAACGCTATAATACCTCTCTATAGAGTTATTATAATTCTTTATAAGAATATTCGCGCGGAGAACAGCGTTCTCTAGAATCTATACTTTCTTATTTCTACGTAAGACTCTACTAGAGTTAACTTTCTAGATATTAGTAGTCTTTAATACTCTATTAGTTCTCCTCTATATTAGAGCTACGTTTCTATAGTAGGCCTAGTTGCTTTTCTAGACTATTCTAATATACTTAATTAGAGTAGCTAGAGTTTCTAACGCGAAGGCGTATTTATCTCGTACTACTTCTTATACTTCACTATTTAGTAAGAGGTTTTTACTATCTAGACTCTATAGTAGCTCTTTTATAATATTAAAATTCTTAGGCTATACTTTATAATATATCTCTTTATATTAGTAAACCTCTATTACCTATTATATACTTAATAGTAGTAGCAACCTAGCGCCTTTTACTAAGACTATCTTAGTAAATTTATTAGTAAGAGCGATAGTTTTAGATAGTTAATAAGACTACTTAGGTCTCTTATTAGGGGGGTCGCGGCTCTATATCTTCTATAGAGTACTTAAAGCTATAGATATTTAAATTATCTATATTTAAAGCTTTTATTATAGAGTTAGTAATATAGCGTCTTATAGCGCTTA